AGTAAATAAAAAACTGACGTGTTCGATTATATACGAATATAAGAGATTGCGAGGGAGTGGGCGCAGCTGATAGGGTATTTACAAACGGGCGCAGGTGATAGGGTATTTACAAACGGGCGCAGCTGATAGGGTATTTACAAACGGGCGCAGGTGATAGGGTATTTACAAACGGGCGCAGGTGATAGGGTATTTACAAAGGGGCGCAGGTGATAGGGTATTTACAAACGGGCGCAGGTGATAGGGTATTTACAAAGGGGCGCAGGTGATAGGGTATTTACAAACGGGCGCAGGTGATAGGGTATTTACAAACGGGCGCAGGTGATAGGGTATTTACAAACGGGCGCAGGTGATAGGGTATTTACAAACGGGCGCAGGTGATAGGGTATTTACAAACGGGCGCAGGTGATAGGGTATTTACAAACGGGCGCAGGTGATAGGGTATTTACAAACGGGCGCAGGTGATAGGGTATTTACAAACGGGCGCAGGTGATAGGGTATTTACAAACGTAAAATTACAAACGAATATTTACAGCTTTACGAAAGCCGATAAAACCCAAGACATGTTACACATTCCAAGAAATTAAGAAAATGTAAAGTATTTACTTGTCTTTTATTAAGATGCTGAGAACATGAGCATCTTTTAGGCTCAAACACTAACAGCAGAAAGCAGAAATATATTAATTACCATCATGCATTTACGAACGCCAGAACCCTCTGCATCTGCGTTCGGTCCTACACACACACACACACACACACACACACACACACACACACACACACACACACACACACACACACACACACACACACATATATATATATATATATATATATATATATATATATATATAATAAATAAACAGCCAACACTAAAGAGTAACGATGTGTTAAGATATTTAGAAAACGGCAGCAAACATCAACAAATTGATGCATTACCCGCCTTTCTCACAACAAATAACAGCAATAAAGGGATGCTCTCGCTGCTTTACAGCGAGGCGGACGCCACAAGGTGACAGTTATGATGATTTTGATGTAAGAGTGATTGTCGGTAATTGTAGGGCCAGACGCGGCGTCACGCGCGCCCACCTATACGACACACGCACAGCAGCCCCGCCGTCATTACTCTCTAGTCTTGCACATCTTTAAAATACAAAATACAAATGATTTCATAAGAGACCAGACACAGGTTACACATGCACGGAACTCTTCATTAACTGGCATACGTCACATACACAGGCCGCACAAGGTGTGTATATATATACACCCAGCAGACACAAATAAGAGCCCAGTAGACACCAAACATGACGCCCGGACAAGAGCCCAGCAGACACCAGTAAGAGGCACGGGCAACAAGAGCCCAGCAGACACCAGTAAGAGGCACGGACAACAAGAGCCCAGCAGACACCAATAAGAGGCACGGACAAGAGCCCCGCAGACGCCAATAAGAGGCACGGACAAGAGCCCCGCAGACACCAATAAGAGGCACGGACAACAAGTGCCCTGCAGACACCAATAAGAGGCACGGACAAGAGCCCAACCAAACATGACGTACGGACAAGAGCCCAGCAGACACCAATAAGAGGCACGGACAAGAGCCCCGCAGACGCCAATAAGAGGCACGGACAAGAGCCCCGCAGACACCAATAAGAGGCACGGACAACAAGTGCCCTGCAGACACCAATAAGAGGCACGGACAAGAGCCCAACCAAACATGACGTACGGACAAGAGCCCAGCAGACACCAATAAGAGGCACGGACAACAAGAACCCCGCACACACCAATATCCCGGTCACGCCACACACAGACCGACCGACAGCCTCCAGTCTGACAAGCGACAGCGGCCGTGTAACAAGAATTAATGTGACGGCGATGTTGAAAAACAAACGACTCAACTTTCACCCCCGAAAGTCATGTAATGAAGCATGATGAAAACTTTCACACCCATCTTTCCCCCGCCCCGCCCCTTCTCCCATCGCTCATTTCCCCCCAGACATGTCACAGAACTGTAGGCCCGTCTGTCTGGATGCTGACACATTACGTATGGGTGGTACCTTGCGGTTACTTTGCCATGATTTCGAGGCTCAGCGTCCCCGCGGCCCGGTCCTCGACCAGGCCTCCTGGTTGCTGAACTGGTCAATCAGGCTCTTGGGTATTGGCCTCTCACATATGAATGAGAAAGGCAGGCAGGCAGGCACAGGCAGGCAGGCACAGGCAGGCAGGCACAGGCAGGCAGGCACAGGCAGGCAGGCAGGCAGGCAGGCAGGCAGGCAGGCAGGCAGGCAGGCAGGCAGGCAGACACAGACAGACAGACAGACAGACAGACAGACAGACAGACAGACAGACAGACAGACAGACAGACAGACACAGACAGGCAGTACTAATAGTTGGTGAAGCATTTCCGAAGTGAGAGAGCGAGGCGGGGTGAAAGTTGGAGCGTCTGGGTGTAATATTGAGCATTATAGCAGCCAGGCCGCCCGGCCTCTCCCACCTACTATGTATAACTCCTCTCAGGGCCAGGAAACTCATACCCACGAGTCATGCGTCAATAGCTGAATACTTCAAGTATTCATAGTAGCAGGAATGTTTCTAGAATAACCCACAGAAGAATAAGAACAAGGCATAAATAATGAAGATAATCATAGAAGTAGTAGTTGCAGAAATAGAAGAAGTGGCAGCAGAAGTAGAAGTCCTTGTAGTAGTAGTAGTTGAGGTAAGAGTAGTATTGGTAGTAGTACAGACAATAGGTCTGAATATGGTGGGTGAAAATTAGACGCCGAACCCACACATCAGAAGACAGTCTGGGTCCACCCTGGACTATCAATCACCAGCTCCCAAATTGACGCTTATCATGGGTCAATTTTCACTCCAGTTATTTCAGCTTGACCCCCTCATCAGGTGGCAAGTAGTGGTGGTAATGGTGGTAGTAGATGTGATAGTGGTGGTAGTAGTAGTAGTAACATAACTAGAAGTGACAGTCGTAGGATTGTTAATTCTACTACAAGAGGGAACTGACGTAGAAAAAATAACAGCAGTATCAGTGGCAAAACTATTATAAATGATGGTAGCAATAGTAATAGTAGAATCATAGTAGCAAACGTGGCATTAGTACTAGTAGTAGATCCATCGCTATTTAATATAAAATATAGATGTTAAACAGTAATATCTATTATTTCTTATGTATATTTCACATTTATCTCTAAATAGCCGATGTTTATTCTCACCAGAGACATTATTTTAGAATAGGTAAGGAGAATTTATTCAATAAATTGGATTCTAAAATGATTGGATAATTAGGTAATAAAATAGAGGCAACGACAAGAAGGCGATCAACCGTAACTGCATCTCCCCACCTGGGCGTGACTCCTCGCATCTCCCCACCTGGGCGTGACTCCTCGCATCTCCCCACCTGGGCGTGACTCCTCGCATCTCCCCACCTGGGCGTGACTCCTCGCATCTCCCCACCTGGGCGTGACTCCTCGCATCTCCCCACCTGGGCGTGACTCCTCGCATCTCCCCACCTGGGCGTGACTCCTCGCATCTCCCCACCTGGGCGTGACTCCTCGCATCTCCCCACCTGGGCGTGACTCCTCGCATCTCCCCACCTGGGCGTGACTCCTCGCATCTCCCCACCTGGGCGTGACTCCTCGCATCTCCCCACCTGGGCGTGACTCCTCGCATCTCCCCACCTGGGCGTGACTCCTCGCATCTCCCCACCTGGGCGTGACTCCTCGCATCTCCCCACCTGGGCGTGACTCCTCGCATCTCCCCACCTGGGCGTGACTCCTCGCATCTCCCCACCTGGGCGTGACTCCTCGCATCTCCCCACCTGGGCGTGACTCCTCGCATCTCCCCACCTGGGCGTGACTCCTCGCATCTCCCCACCTGGGCGTGACTCCTCGCATCTCCCCACCTGGGCGTGACTCCTCGCATCTCCCCACCTGGGCGTGACTCCTCGCATCTCCCCACCTGGGCGTGACTCCTCGCATCTCCCCACCTGGGCGTGACTCCTCGCATCTCCCCACCTGGGCGTGACTCCTCGCATCTCCCCACCTGGGCGTGACTCCTCGCATCTCCCCACCTGGGCGTGACTCCTCGCATCTCCCCACCTGGGCGTGACTCCTCGCATCTCCCCACCTGGGCGTGACTCCTCGCATCTCCCCACCTGGGCGTGACTCCTCGCATCTCCCCACCTGGGCGTGACTCCTCGCATCTCCCCACCTGGGCGTGACTCCTCGCATCTCCCCACCTGGGCGTGACTCCTCGCATCTCCCCACCTGGGCGTGACTCCTCGCATCTCCCCACCTGGGCGTGACTCCTCGCATCTCCCCACCTGGGCGTGACTCCTCGCATCTCCCCACCTGGGCGTGACTCCTCGCATCTCCCCACCTGGGCGTGACTCCTCGCATCTCCCCACCTGGGCGTGACTCCTCGCATCTCCCCACCTGGGCGTGACTCCTCGCATCTCCCCACCTGGGCGTGACTCCTCGCATCTCCCCACCTGGGCGTGACTCCTCGCATCTCCCCACCTGGGCGTGACTCCTCGCATCTCCCCACCTGGGCGTGACTCCTCGCATCTCCCCACCTGGGCGTGACTCCTCGCATCTCCCCACCTGGGCGTGACTCCTCGCTATACAAGGACCACCAACTTTGACGGCATTCTTGGCCTCCTATTGCAAAAGTCGCAAACATTTGTGCAACGTATTAGTTCAGCTGCTCACTGGTAAGCCGCAATCAGAAAGATGGTAAGTATAAAGAGATGTTAACCAAGTTCAAGTATGTTTATTGAGATAAGCAAGAAATACATCTCAAAGGGATCGAGTAGCTTAGGCTATTTCTACCCCGTAAGTTAACCAAGTTAAATATACACTTTTTCTATATGTATAATAATATAAATCAGGAGTCAGAAGTTGTCTGTTGCTGTGCTCACCTGTGTGAAAACAGAGGTACATGTCCACAATTAACAATAAATCCCAAAATAAAGTCAATTTCACCTATTGCAGAAACATCCAGGGAGCTTCATCTTACCCATTCCGCTGACCATTCTCTATTAGGCACTCAACCCACACCACCAGGACACACAGCAGAGGTCCAGGACCAACCCAACTGTCGCCAATTCCTTATATTTTCAGCCATATTATAATGTCTTACTGTCTGTATTCTCTATTCCCTCCATTCCTAAGGGCATGTTATGCTATTATTATGACTTTCTCTTAGATGATGCACTATAATTTTTGAGTAAACTCGACTATAAATGCACAAACATGTATGAATAAGGATTGAATTGGAATGAATTAACAGTAGCCACGAGTGGTGTTTTTTTATTATTATTATTTTCTACCACAGACGTGGCCACACATTTACAATGCTAACCAGCATATATACATTTTCTTCTGTCCTCCATGGACAGGGCTAGAGAAGTGTTAAACATATAGTTCAAGGGTTTATTGAACACTCAACCACATAAGTGGTGTGTGTGTGTGTGATGCAAGTCCGTGTGTAAGTCTGTGTGGTTATGAACTAGAGAAGCTGGACAATGGTGACCTTCTTGAGGTAAACTGTAAATGGAACAAGTATTTAAAGACGTGTGTGAGGTGCCTCCTCACTGACACTTGCTGCCTGAGGTGCCTCCTCACTGCCCCTTGCTGCCTGAGGTGCCTCCTCACTGACACTTGCTGCCTGAGGTGCCTCCTCACTGACACTTGCTGCCTGAGGTGCCTCCTCACTGACACTTGCTGCCTGAGGTGCCTCCTCACTGCCCCTTGCTGCCTGAGGTGCCTCCTCACTGACACTTGCTGCCTGAGGTGCCTCCTCACTGACACTTGCTGCCTGAGGTGCCTCCTCACTGACACTTGCTGCCTGAGGTGCCTCCTCACTGACACTTGCTGCCTGAGGTGCCTCCTCACTGACACTTGCTGCCTGAGGTGCCTCCTCACTGACACTTGCTGCCTGGCATCACCTCCACAACTACACTTGACAAAAAGACAAATATAATAAACTGAGAAACTTACAATGTTCTGTACTTTTTTTAAGAACATAAATAACTTACGCTCGAAAAATTTCACAAAAGAATTATGTGCTTTTTTTCTGCCGAAATCACCCGTCCAGTCCCAGCCACTTTGGTTGGACGGTAGAGCGACGGTCTTGCTTCATGCAGGTCGGCGTTCAATCCCCGACCGTCCAAGTGGTTGGGCACCATTCCTTCCCTCCGTCCCATCCCAAATCCTTATCCTGACCCCTTGTCAAGTCGTAATGGCTTGGCGCTTTCCCCTGATAATTAAAAATTAACATCACCCGTCCAGTACATCATCATAAACTGCACTTAAAAAATATGTCCATGTAAAAGGTATATCTTTTTAAATTAATTTAATTAGATGTTTTTAGAATTGCAATAATTACTATTGTTTCATATTGCAATGGGCACTGCTGCTTTATTATACAATATACTGTATAATGTATATATATACTAATCAGCTGTAGACCATAATTTGTTATTTGTACCAACTTTAATATTAAAGTTATTATACAATAAATAATTATATTGATCATTTTAAGGCTACTTTCATTACATTTTTCTTGTATTAATAATATTCTTGAAATTGTACACACACACACACACACACACACACACACACACACACACACACACACACAGTTATAAATGTACAATCATGTATTAATAAAGTTACTTATTGATTGATATAAAAACCAATCATTTGTCCTTCACTATTCACCGTGTATCTTGATCCACTGTTGTGAGAGTTAAGATCTGGGAGAGCTTTATTTTTTTTCTACCACAGACGTGGCCATAAATTTACAATGCTAACCAGCCTATATACATTTACTTCTGTCCTCCATGGACAGGGTGAGAGAGCTGTTAAACATATAGTTCAGGGTTTTATTGAACAATCAACCACAGAAGGTGATTGTAGTGCTTATAAAATGCTAATCTAACCTACATACATAAGTACACAGATTTACGTCTGTCCTACATAAACAGTGTTCGAGGTGTCTTTTTACAGTGTCAATGTGCGTTTACAAAGGTGAAATGTAATTCTGACCAGCTTCCACATTTATATATATATATATATATATATATATATATATATATATATATATATATATATATATATATATATATATATATATATATATATATATATATATATATATATATATATATATATATATATATATATATATATATATATATATACATATATAAACTGAAAACTCACTCCCCACTCTGCAACTGGTGTACAGGACCCCTTAACCACTCGACCATCACGACCAGACAAAAGATGATGGTAGCCGAGGGTAATTTACCATCATCCCCCCGGCACTCATATATTCAACAATTATATTCAGTATGAGTTCTTTGTTTACTAGTTATTTGAATGCGATTTCTGTTTTTTCTTTTAGATCTGATGATGAATACGACAAGTATTCGAAACGTTATGCATGTTAAAGTAAAGAATCTGAACCAAGATGTTCAGTATTTCCCTGGTTTTCCTATTCATTTTAATATATTATATATATATATATATATATATATATATATATAAGAAATTTAAATAAACCATTGAAAAAATGATATGATACATAATAATAATAATACATAATGTCCAAAGATATTCCCACCAATCCCATATACTTCTACCATAATCAACACTTCGCGAGGTACAGTATGGACCACAGACCTCGAGTCCCCACATATAATGTCACAATCCTTCCCACTCTCCATTGCTTAAAATATGCTGGAAAACCGCGTGAAGAAATTTGTCAGAGAGGAATGATCCTTAGTAAAGCCATGTTGAGAATGCTTCAATACTCTGCCTCACAAGATGCATGCTGATGACAACCGCGAGATTGATTCAATGAATTTTTGTAAACACAAGACGTCACATTAATGGTGACTTGGTGGGGCTAAGATTTTGTTGTTTGTGTAACAACTTCCTCCTTTTCTCCACCTGTGTATTTATGAATAAAACTCAATCAGTAGTAGTAGTAATGGTGGGGGTGGTTGAAGTAATACATGTAGGTATAGTTGTTGCAGTAGTTGATGTTGTGGTTGTGCTGGATGTGGTAGTTGTAGCAACAGTGGTTCTAGTAATAGGTGAAGTTGTTACATAACCTGCTCGATGGGGTTCTGGGAGTTCTTCTACTCACTACCGCTCTCCTACTGACTTGAGAGAGCTTGGTCCACCAGGCTGTTGCTTGGAGCGGCCCGCAGGCCCACATACCCACCACAGCCCGGTTGGTCCGGCACTCCTTGAAGAAAACTATTTACTTTCCTCTTGAAGATGTCCACGGTTGTTCCGGCAATATTTCTTAAGCTCGCTGGGAGGATGTTGAACAACCGTGGACCTCTGATGTTTATACAACTACTATACGAGAAGTAATAGTTGTTCTAACAATTGTTTGTGGTAGTAGATGTTGTAGTGGTTGTAATAATAGTAGTAACAAGAAAAATAGCGGCAGCAGAAGTGCCAGCCACAGTAGATGTGCCACGAGCAGCAGGAGTGGTAGACGCAGCAGTAGTAGTAGTAGATGAGGCACTAGTAATGAGGCACTAGTAATGAGTGCACACACTCATTACTCCTCATAACACGTTGTCTCCAACTCTCAAGAACTTCGGAACTCAGGTAATTTACAACAAAATGACACGTTTTCAAGGTAAAAGATTTACCAAAAAAATTTAACCGTTATTAATATCACATTTAACAGGAGTATGAAACTTGGGCTTAAAAATGAGCGCTGATCAATACTAAAGCATCGTTGTCACGGCAACTTAAGCGCGGCGGGTTGAACAGTACAGCCAGAACAGTGTACCTTCAACAGAACAGTGCAGCTTCAACAGTACAGTCAGAACAGTGCAGCTTCAACAGTACAGCCAGAACAGTGCAGCTTCAACAGTACAGCCAGAACAGTGCAGCTTCAACAGTACAGTCAGAACAGTGTAGCTTCAACAGTACAGTCAGAACAGTGTACCTTCAACAGAACAGTGCAGCTTCAACAGTACAGTCAGAACAGTGCAGCTTCAACAGTACAGCCAGAACAGTGCAGCTTCAACAGTACAGCCAGAACAGTACAGCTTCAACAGTACAGCCAGAACAGTGCAGCTTCAACAGTACAGTCAGAACAGTGAAGCTTCAACAGTACAGTCAGAACAGTGCAGCTTCAACAGTACAGCCAGAACAGTACAGCTTTAACAGTACAGCTTCAACAGTACAGCCAGAACAGTGCAGCTTCAACAGTACAGCCAGAACAGTGCAGCTTCAACAGTACAGCCAGAACAGTGCAGCTTCAACAGTACAGCCAGAACAGTGCAGCTTCAACAGTACAGCCAGAACAGTGCAGCTTCAGCAGTACAGTCAGAACAGTACAGCTTCAACAGTACAGTCAGAACAGTGCAGCTTCAACAGTACAGCCAGAACAGTGCAGCTTCAACAGTACAGCCAGAACAGTGCAGCTTCAACAGTGCAGCTTCAGCAGTACAGTCAGAACAGTGCAGCTTCAACAGTACAGGCAGAACAGTGCAGCTTCAACAGTACAGCCAGAACAGTGCAGCTTCAACAGTACAGCCAGAACAGTGCAGCTTCAACAGTACAGCCAGAACAGTGCAGCTTCAACAGTACAGCCAGAACAGTGCAGCTTCAACAGTACAGCCAGAACAGTGCAGCTTCAACAGTACAGCCAGAACAGTGCAGCTTCAACAGTACAGCCAGAACAGTGCAGCTTGAACAACAGTACAGCCAGAACAGTGCAGCTTCAACAGTACAGCCAGAACAGTACAGCTTCAACAGTACAGCCAGAACAGTACAGCCAGAACAGTGCAGCTTCAACAGTACAGCCAGAACAGTGCAGCTTCAGCAGTACAGCCAGAACAGTGCAGCTTCAACAGTACAGTCAAAACAGTGCAGCTTCAACAGTACAGCTTCAACAGTACAGCCAGAACAGTGCAGCTTCAACAGTACAGCCAGAACAGTGCAGCTTCAACAGTACAGCCAGAACAGTACAGCTTCAACAGTACAGCCAGAACAGTGCAGCTTCAACAGTACAGTCAGAACAGTGAAGCTTCAACAGTACAGTCAGAACAGTGCAGCTTCAACAGTACAGCCAGAACAGTACAGCTTTAACAGTACAGCTTCAACAGTACAGCCAGAACAGTGCAGCTTCAACAGTACAGCCAGAACAGTGCAGCTTCAACAGTACAGCCAGAACAGTGCAGCTTCAACAGTACAGCCAGAACAGTGCAGCTTCAACAGTACAGCCAGAACAGTGCAGCTTCAGCAGTACAGTCAGAACAGTACAGCTTCAACAGTACAGTCAGAACAGTGCAGCTTCAACAGTACAGCCAGAACAGTGCAGCTTCAACAGTACAGCCAGAACAGTGCAGCTTCAACAGTACAGCCAGAACAGTGCAGCTTCAGCAGTACAGTCAGAACAGTGCAGCTTCAACAGTACAGGCAGAACAGTGCAGCTTCAACAGTACAGCCAGAACAGTGCAGCTTCAACAGTACAGCCAGAACAGTGCAGCTTCAACAGTACAGCCAGAACAGTGCAGCTTCAACAGTACAGCCAGAACAGTGCAGCTTCAACAGTACAGCCAGAACAGTGCAGCTTCAACAGTACAGCCAGAACAGTGCAGCTTCAACAGTACAGCCAGAACAGTGCAGCTTGAACAACAGTACAGCCAGAACAGTGCAGCTTCAACAGTACAGCCAGAACAGTACAGCTTCAACAGTACAGCCAGAACAGTACAGCCAGAACAGTGCAGCTTCAACAGTACAGCCAGAACAGTGCAGCTTCAGCAGTACAGCCAGAACAGTGCAGCTTCAACAGTACAGTCAAAACAGTGCAGCTTCAACAGTACAGCCAGAACAGTGCAGCTTCAGCAGTACAGCCAGAACAGTGCAGCTTCAACAGTACAGCCAGAACAGTGCAGCTTCAACAGTACAGCCAGAACAGTGCAGCATGAACGCCGCCACCTGAGCATGTCTAGCTTTTTGCGGGGCTTCCCTATAATTTTCCAGGCGGCGAGGATCCAGGATTTCCTCCCACAGGGAGACGCAGGTCGGCAGGAGCGCCCTTGATGACACGGAGGTCGGTGTGCGGGCTCTTGCTGACATGAAGCCCGATACCATGACACTTGCTGACAGGTCAGCCGATACCAAGGCACGTGGTGACACGTAGGCCGATACCAGACCATTTGGTGACACGTAGACCGATACCAGACCGCTTGGTGACACGTAGGCCGATACCAGACCACTTGGTGACACGTAGACCGATACCAGACCGTCTGTGTTACCAAAGTCAGTACCAGGGTGTTCTTGGCGACAATACAAACGAAAATTCCCCTTAATATATATATTCTATTACAATAAGGTACATATATGAAAAGCTGAAGTTTGAACAGCTGAAAGGCCTAACGAGTGTCCTTTCGGACACCTCAGCTAGGTCAAGGCGGGACAGGATGACCACGACACACACACACACCTGGGGTAGTTATTGAAAGCTGATCACAGGTGCTGCCGAAGGCGGAAGCCCGCAGCTCTATCAGCGATCGTTGATTGTAATGTGACATGCGTCAGAGATACAATGTGAACCTTACCAGACAGATACAGCACAGAGAGAGAGAGAGAGAGAGAGAGAGAGAGAGAGAGAGAGAGAGAGAGAGAGAGAGAGAGAGAGAGAGAGAGAGAGAGAGAGAGAGAGAGAGAGAGAGAGAGAGAGAGAGAGAGAGAGAGAGGGGGGGGGGGGGAAGGGGGTACTGGGGTGGAAACTTGTGTTTGAATATCAATAACTTAACTCATCTAGTGTGTGTCTAAGATCGAGCACTAGCTCCCTAGTCCCGGTTATTCATCTCCTGGTCAGTAAAT